CAAGGGTTAGAGTTTGATGTGTCTCTTCTCTTACTTCAGTTAGGCTACTGTACAGAAATTTCACTTGAGGAAAGAGAGAGAACAGAACAGTTCTAACTGTCTTCTAACTCTGGGGTTTAGTTGAGCATGAACTATAACTCTGTCTATCCTATTAAATTAAAAATCTTCTACTTAGAGCCAGTGTTCCTATAAATTCCTTCCTCAGGGAATTTCAGAAAATGGAGAGCTTTTATTCCTTTCTTCTCACCTTAGCAAAAAGAAGGGTTTTTGTCCTTTAGCAAGAAACAAAGAATAATTACCAAATTTCAGAATTTCAACATAAAAATGAGCTAGTGCATGTTAAAAATTGTAAACCAGATATATAATTCCAATCCCTGAAATATTTAAAAACACAAACAGAAAGCTCTGTGGAGAGCGGGCTTTCTCTGTACTATCATCATTCTGAAGTCTTTTTCTTCATCTCTCACTTCTACAGGGAGGCGAGTGTGTAATGACAGTCTAAGTATTTCCCAGTCCTGTTCTCCTCCAAATGTGAAACCCTGACATAGTTGGGTTTTGGCCTGAAAGTTTTTTGTTTTTTGGGGTTTTTTTTGAGAGGTTTCTGCTATAGGGCGTGTGCGCTCGCCAGACAAGAGAGACAGAAAGCGAGAAATCATCCTGCAATGGGGATGGCCCTTCTCCTCCATTCTCCTCTCGGAACCTTGGGCACGCATGCACATGCGCCCGGCGTGAGTTTTAAGCCACCGGGTCCAGGACGTGAACCGCAGTCGGCTACGTGAGAGTCCAATGACATAGCCATTACGCTAACTGCAGGTCCCTGGCCTGAAAGTTTTGACACTCACTCTCCTGGTGGCTTTAGGATGCTTTCAAGCCCACTGACATCTCCCCTCCAGTTCAGGTGTTCCTGCCCTCAGACACCAGGATCCTTGACTCTGGCCTAGTTCCCTCTTGGCCACAGCCTCTTGATATGGTTTTCCATGGCTATTCTTGCTGGACATTCTCAAGGGCTTAGGTTACTCTGGTAATAATGATAGAAGTGATCTCAGAACTGTAAATTTTCTAATATGGATTGTAATTTTTTAGAGAGATTTTTACTATAGGGTGTATGTGCTCACCAGAGAGACAGAGAGAGATAGAGAGAGTTGAAAGCAAGAAATCACTCCTCCTCAGGCAGGATGGCCACACTACAATCCTTTCTCCTCCATTCTCCTCTCAGGATTTTGGGCATACACATACGTGTGCCTGACATGAGTCTGAAGCCACTGGACCCGGCACTTGAACTGCAATTGGCCATGTGGAGGTCCAGCAACATAACTATTACACCAACCTGGATTATAACATTTTAGTTCTAGTTGTTAAATTTCTCAGATTTAAAGGAGCATGGACCACAATTCGTTGAACAACTTCTCTTTAAGAACTCTTCCTTAAATGGCCCAGACCCCAACCCTTTATTCTGGAGTTACTTTCCCCTGCCATGCCTGCCCCTAGCTCAACCAGTTTTTCTTCAAGATCTGCCCTGCAGCCCATCCTTTATTGTAGTTGCATACTGACTGATTTGGAAAAAGGAGTTCTTCCTTAAACCCTTCCCATTTAATTCATAAATAGACACAGTAAGAGTTAATGTGTGAAGAGCTGCTCAAATTCACAAGTAATTAGAAAAGTATGAGTTAAAATAACACTGGTCTATCATCAGACACATAAAATTAACAGACATTTCCAACTTGCTAATACCAGTGTCCATTAGAATATGAGGAAAATGAGAATCCTTCTACATAGAAGGACATAAATTTGGTTGTGCTAAGTGAAATTAAATATGCACATGCCTTGCCCTTGAGCAGATCTCCTTCCTGATAAATAGCCCAGCAAAGTCCTCATGTTAATCATCTACAAGATGATGTCATCATCACACTGGTGTTGGTGGTAACTGAGAGTTGAAAGCAACCAAGTACCATCAAAAGGGAAGATAATAAATTAAATAGTCTTAAGTTAGGTTCCTCTAAAACCAGAACCTGAGATAAGAATTTGCATTCAAGTACCTTCTCTGGGAGAAAATTGGAACTGGAATGAACTGTGAGACCAAAGTGGTTAGATCATCAGTATAAGGTGTTATAGCTGTGTTATCTGTGACAAAGGGAATGAATGGCACAGGAAAATAACAGGAGGCCGTGTTGTACATGTCTCAGTAATGCTGTGTGAGCAGGAAGGACATGCACATGACTGACCCTTCAGTTCCCACATGCCAGCATATGCAGTGGTCCCAGAGTCATTAGTTGCAGTCCGTCTAGCCTGCCCAAGCAAGGGCCAACAGAAAGCCTTCAAGTAGCATCCCGAGTTTATGCAGCTGGACATCAGAACCATGGCTGCGACAAGAGGTGCCGATGGGGTAACACAAGGCAACAACTGTGTCGTGGAGACAATTTTTAAATACAGAGTAGAGGAAAATGCATAAGAGACAGCAAGAGGTATAAATCAATATATCATTGCTGTAAAGCAAATCACAAGCTAAAACAAAACCAATGACACCTGTCAGTCATAGTGTGAGCAAAGACACATCTCAGACACACGTGAGACAGTGCCTTGGGATAGGGAGCTGAATGGGATTGAGGTTGAGGGATGAAAGGAAGAAAACTGGCAACAGATGGGCTTTACAGGAAGTGGGGAGTGATGGAGAAAGGGTGTCATAACCTGGGAGTGGGATTTAAATTTCTCTCCTGCCTCCTCTCAGTTGCTGGTTCTGCTTCTTTTGGGCCCATCCAAGCTCTCGCCTTCCACAGCCCACACAGCAAGTCTGACCTCGGGCTGAGGCTCACACAAGAGCCCCATCAGTAGCCTGCAGCTGGGATCCAGATAATAAGACTCTACATTTTGCCCATGAGAAGATCCAGGAAGAGGGCAAAGGGACAGCCTGAGGCCCTGCAACTACACTTCCCAGAAGTCCCTGCGCTGATTCTAACCATACACAGAGGAGGAGCCTTTGCAAAGCCAATGGGAGCACGTCATGGGCAGACCAGGACAGGCAGGACTGTCACAGCCTAGTTCCTGCTTGCTGCTCTGGAAACCCAGTAAGAGTAACTCTCTCAGGGCTCACGGTATACTTTCAAGTTGGAGTTGAACCCTGCCTCAAGGTGAGTCAAGGAAGCTGGGTCTACACCATGCCTGGATTTCAAGCCTAGGGTGGTTCAGAAAATGTGCCCGGCGTGTGTGTGAGACGAGGGCTTCTACTGCCACACAGTGCAGTGCTGAACCTGGAGACCCTCAATGCACTGTCAGGTTTGAGTCACAGCCACCCCGTTCTAGCTCCAGGGATTCGGGCCAGTCACCTGGAGTGTCTACGACTCAGTTTCTCCAATGGAGCTGTGACAGTGCTGACTTACAGGCTGTGAATGAAACACAGCTGCTGTGTGTAAGCGACCTTCGCCAGCTGGTGTCCCTCTGGATACTTGAGCCAGTGAAGTCCACCCTGTTTCGCCCCCAACTGGCTGCTCCTGCAGGCAGCCAGTTCTTAGCAGTCCCCACACTTCCTGCCTGAGCTGGTCAGGAGCCCCCTACTGCTTCCCAGTGTCCAGCCAGGTTGGATTGTGGTGTCTGTTATGTTTAGGGGGGTCCTGGGCACGCTGGCCATGTTGGAAGAAGGCTCCCTGGAGAGGGTCTCTGGAAGCTGTCAATGACCTTGAGCAGCTCCGTCTCTGTCAGTCAGGCCCCTGAACACTGCTTTGCAGAAGCCACAGGGCACGGGAGCCTCTGGGCTGGAAGGCTCCTGCTCTAGCCTCACCCCACACTCTGGCTTGGTGCCCACCACCACGGCAGGGCTGTTTGCTCTTTTCTGATCAAATGCTCTTCTCCTTCTCCAGGCCCATCCTTTGCGTGACTCAAACACAAAACAGCTCACTCCACTCACTTCCTCAAAGGGCACTTTGTCACTGCTAGCTCCCTGGCTGCCTGCTGCCAAGACACTTGCTATCCTGTGTCTTCCCCTTCTGCAGCTGGACAGCGGTTTCCCTTTCCATCCACTTCCTTGGCCTCTTTTGAGCTCCCTGCCACCCTCTTGACCCCGTGGGTGCATCCTGGAAGCCCTGGCTGGGGTGCAGGTGTCCCTTGGACTGAGGATGTTGAATCTTGGCCTTCAGGAAGGTCCAGCCCTGCTTCTGCTTTTCCATCTAACAGCCCAAGTGCTGGCTTGGAGGGTGGGGGCAGTGATCTTTGTGGTCAATTTGAGAATGGGTTGGGACCATGTCCTTTACTGTCCAGAGAAGGGCAGAGAGAGGAAAGAAAAAGCCATGTATAAGGACAGAAGAGTCACTCACAGCTCTCCTTGCAATTTTTGTTTTCAGTGACACCAGAAATCCACACAATAGTGGGAGAAGATTCTGGCTCTGTCTGTAATCTGCTTTCTCCTGGAGCCTGGAGGTGTGACCACAGTCTCCATCAGCAGCTGCCTCTGGACCAATCTGCCGGTCATTCTTCCAGGTTGGTCTCCTAGTACAGACTCTTTGGGGGAAAGAATTCAGTTGTCTTCTGTTAAAAGGAGGAAACCACTGCTTGATGTGAAAAGAGGAGACCCTGGAGACTGGGAATTCTAGGGTGGGTTGTGCAGATCAGCTGCTCCAAGGGCACATCCAGGAATGGGGGTTAAGGGCCAATCCCCACCGTCAGTTAAGGGTGGACACAACAGTTAGTCCAACTACCGAATAACGATGACCATTCAAGAAAGCAGCAGACACGCATCATCTGCAGAAAGGTGGCCAGTCTGCCGCCTGGCACCGGGGCCTCTGGAAGCTGCGTCCTGTGTATCCAGATTTCTTTCACACAGCTTCGCAAGATGACCTTGGTGACTCTGGTCAGGTTCCCCAAAACCAGATGCTGAGACAAAGATCCACGTGCTGTTGACTAAGGAAGCGCCAGGAGAAACCCCCTGCAGCCTGCACGTAAATTATAACTCAAAGGTCGTCCACACTCAGGGCAAGGCAGCTGGGCTTTCAGTCTCAGTCTCGTACAATAAGCCTTTGGCTCAGGGCTTCCCTGGCAGGAATGGAGTCCCTGGCATTTCCCATTCTCTGTGCAAGGGGGGAAAGCAGTCCTGGGGTCCCTCAAGGAATCCTCCAAAGAGAGCCAAGGGTGGGAATCCCTACAAATAAGGATCCACACATATCCGCAAAGCTCATTCGCTGTCACTTTATAGTCTGAGCGAGCCTTTCTTCAGCTACTTATTTCAGAATTGAGGCCTCCCTGTTGGATACTTGCTATCCACTTTCTTTGCTTCAGTTTTCCCCAGGGCACTTACATAGCCTAACAGATTGCAGTTTTATTTATTTACTCAGCTTGTTATCGATCATTCCAATCCCTGCGAAAGTATAAGCTATTTAAGAATAAACAAGCATAAAAAAGATACTATGTAGCTTCTCCATAGATGTGCATTGCTGGTTTTCAGTAAAATATTTATTGAATGAATCAATCAAGAAGTGAAAGGCTATGAATCTTCAGGTTGGGAACTTTTTTTTTAATCATTTATTTATTTATTTTTACATTTTCCCATACACATTTACTTTACATATCAAAAAAAATTTGCTCATACTCCATAGTTCTTGACAGTTAATAAGCAACTTTCAACATTTCAAAACACTGAATGTTAAAGATAATGTTTGAAATTTTTATTGTAATTTTGTTTGTGACTCTATGACAACAGAGACAGTATGTTTTTAAATATTGTTGAGAAATATTTATATGTCAACTACTCTAACTGTTGCAAAGAAAACAGTCAGCACACAATTCAAATGCAAAACTTCCCAATTCAGCCCTGCTTACCTAGTATTCTGTGCTATACCATCTGCTAGCAAAGATCAGTCTCTTTTTCTTTCTTCAAAGTCTTCCTCAAGGTAATCCTCTGGCTGTGGCTATTCTTTTACAATCTCTACTGATTACAATGTTGGGCTGGAAAAATCCAGGTTATTTTATGTACAAATTCTTTCATAGAGCTTCTCTCATCCTCTCTGCCAGGCAGAACTGTTCATGCTGCCAGATCATCTTTCCCACAGCTTCTGTTGCCTTACTTGAGATCTACCCTAGTTCCATAGTTTTCTGGTTTAATCTTCAGTTATGACATTCCAGTCAAAACCCTGTCCAATGATGAGTATTTCCAATTTCTGATTCAAGGCAACAGGTATTATTGAACTTTGAACTTATACAAATAACCATTCTGCTACAGATAATAATACTCCCAAATAATTTCCAATTCCAGAGGGGTCAGGAAGAGAAGAAAGTTTATGTTTCCATTTAAAGATGAAAATAAGAAAAAAAAAACATTTTAAATTACTCAACCTATCAACAGCTCAAAAGAAAGCAAAATCCTTGAATTGGGAAAAAAAGCATAACAAAAAAAAATCAGTAACATTTTACTCAAATGTCATAAAATTCTATTTCACCAGTTCAGTCTTATATAATTAATCTCTCTTCTACAGTGTTACTGTGGTCCAATCTTTTCATTTAAATCCTGGAAATTAACATTCAATGTTGTTATTGATATTTCTTGTCCCTAGAATTAAGTTGGTCAATTTCTTGGTTGTTTTTGTTCTCTTATTTCTGTATGTGTGTCTTTAGTTTTTCTGGTAATGCACTTCTTTAGAACTTCTTGAATAGCTAGTCTGGTGTTGGTAAATTCTTTCAGGTTTTGTTTATCTTAGAATGTTTTTATCATTTTTCTTCGCATATGAAGGATAATCTTGCTGGGTATAGTATTCTTGGTTGAAATTGTTTTTTACTTAACACTTTGAATATATTTTCCCATTCTTTCCTTGCTTGTATTGTTTCTAATACAAGAAGTTTGATGTTAGCTTGATGGGATAAGTTAACCTGATATTTATCTCTTACTGAATTTAGTATCTTTTCTTTGTGGATTTGGCCAATCATGGCTATAATATGTCTTGGAGAAGATCTTCTTGGGTTGATTTTATTAGAGGTCCTTTGTATTTCTTGGGTCTGGATATTTGAATGCCTCTTTAGACTTGGAAAGTTTTCTTCCACTATTTCATGGAATAGATTATCAAAGCCCTTATTAGTTTTTTCTCCTTCTGGGATACCAGTTATCTGGACGTTTGGGTGCTTAATGCTATCTAGTATTTCTCATATAGTATTATCATATTTTTTTTCAGTTTTTTTGGTTATTTTTTTCTAGGTCAGAGGTTTTATCTTCAACATACAAGATTCAATCTTCTGCATGGACTAATCTGCTTTTAATACTTTCAAGGGAGTTTTTGCTTCCCTGTATTGCAGCCTTCATCTCTAACAACTCCATTTGATTTGTTTTATGGTGTGTGTTTCCTCTTTCAGATTGTGCGAGAACTTCCTCACATCCTGGAACTCATTGTCTCTTTTCTCCTGCATCTTTGGGAATTCATTGTCTCTCAGCTCTTGCATCTCATTTAGTTTTGTCACTATGAATATTCTGAATTCTCTATCAGAAATTTCCACGAGTTCCACTGTACTGTCTCCCTTAGGGGAGAAATGTTTTCTTGGTTTCTCATATTTCTTGTACCTTTGTGGTGGTTTCTGGTCATTCTGTGATAAAATATCTCCTCTACTGTGTTTTGCAACATGGTATCCACAGAAATATTGAGTTCAGATTTATAAAAAACAGTTTCTTCCTTAAGGTAGGAGGTTCAATAAACATTGAGGATGTCAATAACCCTAAAGAATTCAGATGCTTGGCTACTGTGCCCCGAGTCCTGTCTAGACACTTAGTGTGTGGAGACTGAGAGCAGAGTGGGAAAGTAAGGTTAAAAAAAGTAGAAGCCAAAGGAAAAGAAAAGAAAAGGAAAAAACCAACGATACAAAAACAGCCAAAAAAGAGAAAGAAATCTTTTTTTAAAAGGTATAAAATGAAAATCTCACAGTGCTAGTGTGCCACAGGAATGCGCTGGGACACACCTCAGATTTATAATGGCTTCTGAAATTAGCAAGAGAATGAGAAGGCTGGAGGTGAGAAGTGTTTTAAAAAAAATTTTAACTAGAAATTTAGAGAGAGACAGAGACAGAGAAGTCAGAGGTCACCCTACCTGCCTCAGTGTTTCAGGGATCTAGAAGATGGGGTTTAGAGCATAGCTTCAGTCGTCTTGGCCCCTGAACATGACAGGACATACCTTAGATTTAAAATGGCTTCTATCTCAGTGTTTTGGGGATCTCCAAGTTGGGAACTTTGTGTGAGGTTCAGGTAAAGGGGAAATTGAGTAGGTTAGGTACTCGGAGCACCATGTACTCACTTGTATAGTTCTCCTGTTTATATCGGAAACTGTTTATAAGCCTATTTTAATTTATGCCAGTTAGAATCTCTCTTTTATTCATCACCAAGAAAAACCACATGTGAATTTTGGTCATTTGACTCATCACTTAATCTAGTTTTCCAACTTCTAATGCTTGAAAGATGGAAGATATTATAATACATTTTTTAAACAGGGTTAATGAAACTATTAAGTGAACTTGTGCGTATAAAAGCAGTTCACACAATAAAGCACTAAACAAAAGAATTATTGTTACAGAGACTTACAGTCATTATGTGTATTTACATATTTAAAATATATTATGGATAATTGTCCTATGCTAAGAAATTCAACTGTAACAGCAGTGCTACTTGTTTTTCTTCATTTTTCTTACTTAGGGAGTCATGGACATTGAAGCATATTTTGAAAGAATTGGTTATAAGAACTCTAGGAACAAACTGGACTTGGAAACACTAACTGACATTCTTCAGCACCAAATCCGAAGTGTTCCCTTTGAGAACCTTAACATCCATTGTGGGCAAGCCATGGAGTTGGGCTTAGAAGCTATTTTTGATCAAGTCGTGAGGAGGAACCGGGGCGGTTGGTGTCTCCAGGTCAATCATCTTCTGTACTGGGCTCTGACCACCATGGGCTTTGAGACCACCATGTTGGGAGGCTATGTTTACAGTGTTCCAAACAACAAATACAGCGAGGGCATGATTCACCTTTTACTAATGGTGAACACCAATGGCAGGACCTTTATCGTCGACGCTGGTTTTGGACGCTCCTACCAAATGTGGCAGCCCCTGGAGTTAATTTCTGGGAAGGACCAGCCTCAAGTGCCGTGCACCTTCCAACTGAGCGAAGAAGGAGGAATCTGGTACCTGAACCAAACCAGAAGAGAGCAATACATTCCTCACCAGGAATTTCTTAATTCTGATCTTCTGGAAAAGAATCCATACCGAAAAATCTACTCCTTTACTCTCGAACCTCGAACAATTGAAGATTTTGAAGCTATTAATACATATCTGCAGGTGTCTCCAGCTTCTGTGTTTACAAGCAAATCTTTTTGTTCCTTGCAGACCTCAGAAGGTGTTCACTGTTTAGTGGGCTTCACCCTCACCTACAGGCAATTCAGGTACAAGGACAATGTAGATCTGGTAAAGTTTAAGATGCTGAAAGAAGAAGAAATAGAAGAAGTTCTGAAAAGTATATTTAATATTTCTTTGGAGAAAAAGCTGGTACCCAAACATGGTGATCGATATTTTACTATTTAGTGTAAGGAGTAAAAATTTGTTCAGTATTACTTCAGATTTTTAAACATGTTATTATAAATAATTTCTAATGTACAGAATTATAGGGAATGGAATTATAAACTTTTGTGTATTTATTACCCAGCCCACCACCTATCAACTGATTACCTATTATAGTCCCTATACACCCACATTATTTTGAAGAAATCCCTATACATTAAATCATTCTGACAATAAAAATGAGAACACGTATAATTAAATAACTTCTTAAAGAAACCACCACACACATTTGCACAATTAAAGTTTAAGTATGGTCTGTGGTTATCTTGGGAACCAGAGTGATTTATGGTAGAAAATCTTTGAAACTGGTTTATTGTTGAATTCATAACATACTTTTAACTGGTACTTGAATAAGTCAAATATTAAGGAAATTGTTTCCATTAAATGCAATGAGCATTTGCAGTGTCCAACTTTTATAAAATACAACATGCATAACTTACGATTTTAATTCAATAAAGCAGAATGATGCATGTTATTGGTTCCAAATAAACTAACAGTTCTCCAGACACGACTTAAGCTAATACACAATGGCATCTGATGAGGTGTCAAGAGGGACACAGCGGATAATTTCTTCTAGGGTTCTTTTTCGGCTACACTTTTTTAGGTATTATTTTTCTCTCTCTTTTTTTTAAAGAATTATTTTATTCAACTTTATTTATTTATTTATTTATTTTGAAATTTGACCAGAAAGGGATAGAGAGAAGCAAAGTGAGAAAGCAAGCCACCAGGTCCGGGACTCGAACCACAATTAATCATGTGGGAGTCTATACCCTTAACCACCACGCTACCTGTATTATTTTTCTTAACACTGATATTTAGAATTTCCAGCTTCCAGAATTAAAGAAGTTATATCTAAAAATAACAGTTATTGTAAATTATAAAATAAATCAGAAAAACTTACTGTCTAAACAGTATGTTTAAATCTTGTTGGCTAACATAATGTAGATTGAATTTTTGTCTGGAAGAGTTAAAATATTATAGGGCCAAGCAGGTTTTATTGCCATGGAGTCCTCTTTGCATTCTTGCCTTTCTCACCTTCCCTGATGGACTTGTTCGTCTCTGCTGTTCTCGGCAATGGCTGACAGGACAGAAGAGATTTTCTCACATTCTGATCAAGAGAATCAAGAAATACCAAGTAGATCAAAAGGCAACACAAGGGGAATGATGCAGTTTTCCACAAATAAGTCAAGGATGTCATTGTGCAATAAATATGCTGTAACTCACTTCAATGGTTTCTTTACAAACATGTTTTTTCCACATACATAAGACCTTCCTGTAACCATACACACCCAAGGGGACCCACTCACTCTCTCCCCATCAAATACCGACATATCCAGTTAAAGTTCAAGCCATTTAGGGTCAGGCAGGGTGCCGTGGCAGCAAAGCTTCATAAGGCCAGATCCATGTGGAGAAGTGATGGGTTCAGGTCCCAAAGCTTTCCTCCTCACACAGATGCCGGCACCTGTCTGTGATCCAGGCTGGCTGAGATCCAGGCTGGCTGAGGGCCGTGGCCTTGGGACCCTTTTAGAGTGCCTGTCTCTTTCTCTCTTTCTCTGCCACAGCAGAAATAAACTTAAAAAGTAGCTATAGAAAAAAGTCAAGCCATTGGGGACAAAGAACCGATTAAACAGTTGGACTCTAGATGCAGAGGGTATGCCATCCTTTGATTCCCTTCCCCACGACCACTCCTTCTGACATAGAAGTGTCCTGACTTGTCCTTCATCTTTGATATGGACAGCCTGCGACCCTTTACTCCCCTACAGAAAGCTGCTGCTACAGCAGGGGTTGTCTGAGCAGGCCTGTCATCTCAGGCTGTGTGTATCTCCAAGCCCACCCGTCTCCTGCATTGGGCAGTGATAGTTGGAAAGAATAATCTGGGAAGGCCAGCAGATGGCGTAGCAGTTACGTCACGGGACTTCCACGCTGAGTCCTGAACCTGGTGGCAGGGTGCGTGTGTGTGCATGCCCAAGATCCCAGAAGGAGAATGGAGGAGAAGGGATTGTGGTATGGCCATCCTCCTTGGGGGGTGACGTCACACTTTACCTCTCACTGTCTCAGTCTCTCTCTGTGCTCTCTGGCCAAGTTTACACATAGTATGGAGGAAAATAAATCTCTTAAAAAAAAAAAAGATCTGGGTCGCAAACAATGGACTAAATTGTGTTACAAACATTCTCACTAAGTCTCCTAGAAACCCTGCAACACATGTTCCATTGTTCCCTTTTTCCAGCTGAAAGTGCTGAGACCAGCCAATTGCCTGAAGTAAATCAGTCAGTTAATATCAGAGTCCACTGCATGGGTTAGTGGTGTGGACTGAACTGTGCCCCACCCCAGAAAAATCCATGTTTTGAAGCCATAACTCTCTATACCTCAGAGAAGGACTGAATTTGAAGATAGGACCTTTAAAAATGTGACTGACTTAGAATGAGACCGTGACAGTGGGTCCTCAGGCAAACTGACCAGCGTCCTTATGAAAAGGGACACAGAAGAAGCATCAGGGACATGCAGGCATAGAGGATAGATCATGTGTGGCCAGGGCAAGCCAAGAAGGGAGAGCTCAGGAATGAGCCCTGCTGACACCTTGACCTTGGACTTCCAGCCTCCAGAACAGTGTGACAACTAACCCCTGTTATTTCAGCCACTCTGAGGAATTTGTTACACAGCCCTCACAAGGCAGAGAAACCTACTTAGGAGCCAGGTTCGACTACTAGTAACAACCCGCTGTGGCTTAAACTAGGGGTGGACAAACTGGGGCCCACAGGCCAAACACAATGACTGTTTTTGTAAATGAGGTTTTACTGGGGCTCACCCACCATGCCTTTTTGTTTTGTTTTGTTTTGTTTTTGTTTTTACCATAGGGAGCATGAACTGGCCTGAGAGAAACAGTGAAAAGGAGAGTGAGAAATCACCTTCCAGGGTGATGGCCATGTCACAATCCCTTCTCCATTCTCTCAGGATCGTGAGCACATGGGCATACATGCACACATGCCTAAAGTGATTTTCAAGCTGCCAAGTCGAGACTGGAGCTGCAGTTGGTCATGTGGGAGTCTAGTACCTTCACCACGAGACCTGCTGTCCCCCGGCCATGCTCTTTTGATATCGTACTGTCTGCGACTGTTCACGCCACCGTCACGGCGTTTAGCAGTTACAACAGAGACCATATGGTCCAGAAAGCCTAAGACATTTTCTATATTATTTACACTGTATTTACTACATGCTCCTCACAGAAGCAGATTGATGGGCCCTGTTTTAAACAAATAGTTTATCGTCTTCTGTGGAAAAAGAAGTCTGGAAGCCGGAAATCCAGGGTTGCTATGGCAACTCCCCCCAAAGTGATCAGGCACTAACGCTCCTTCTGTGTTTGCTCCACTGTTCTTAGAGGACAGTGTGTATCTTCGAGCTACGAGATGTGGACTGAACCTCCAGCCATCATATTCACAGCCTAGGAAGAAGAGAAAGGCAAGGCCCAGGCTCTTCCTAGTTCAGTTCCATTTAAGAGACATCCCAGAAGCCTCGGCTTTTTAAATGACCAGCAAAGAAGAAACGCGAGCCCGGTGGTGGTGGGAGGGGGAGGTACAATAGGGAATATGAAGGAGAGAGCAGGACTGAGCTAGTTAAGACCCAGCTGGCTGCAGGAGGTGAGGACGGAGTACACAGGACGTCACAGTGGTAATGTGTCACCATCCTGCAAGGAGGCCCCATGAGACCAGAAATATGGGGTGGGGCGTGTGGGTAAGGAGAGGAGCTCGGTTTAGTTTGGGGTGGGGAAGAAAAAGGTAAATGGAATACAAGCAGAGGTCATTTAAAAGCATAGGGGGCCAGCAGATGGCATAGCAGTTATGCTGCTGGACATGGTCAACTGCAGTTCAAATCCCAGACCTGCTGGCTTGAAAAATCACACTGTGTGTGTGTGCACAGGTGCCCAAGATCCTGGAAGCAGAACAGAGGAGAAGGGATTGCAGTGTGGCCATTTCCCCTGGGGGGAGGTGATTTCTTACTTTCCCTCTCACTGCCTACCTCTCTCTGACTCGTCCCAGCAAGCACACAAACCACAAGGCAAAAAACTCTTAAATTGAAAAAAAAAAGCATAGGCAATGCAAATTCAAACCAGCTCCCAAATCATGAGAACTGCTTGCAGCAGGGCCTGGCAGACTGTCCCAGCATAATGTTTTTCAGAAAACGGGGGAAATGAAAGCAGCTCCAAAGAGGAAAACACTTCAACGGTGCCCTCACAAGTGGCCGTGTTCCCACACGTGGTCTCCGGCAGTGCTGTTTATGTGCATTTCCAAGCCTTCTGCCCACTCCTTAGTCACTTCCTGCTCTGACTGGGCCTGGGAGGAAACTTAGCCTCCCAGGGCAGCCCCAGCCCCTGCTGCAAATGTGACTGGTGGTGGATGGGAACGAGTTTGGGGAGGCAACCAGAAAGAACAATGGCACCAGTTATTAAGTCAGTGGCTTGCCTGAATCCAGCCTCAACAAACAGAATGCATTTACATCTGCACACAGTCCTGCCATCAGAAGAGGCTAGGAGCCAGGTTCGACTACTAGTAACAACCCGCTGTGGCTTAAACTAGGGGTGGACAAACTGGGGCCCACAGGCCAAACACAATGACTGTTTTTGTAAATGAGGTTTTACTGGGGCTCACCCACCATGCCTTTTTGTTTTGTTTTGTTTTGTTTTTGTTTTTACCATAGGGAGCATGAACTGGCCTGAGAGAAACAGTGAAAAGGAGAGTGAGAAATCACCTTCCAGGGTGATGGCCATGTCACAATCCCTTCTCCATTCTCTCAGGATCGTGAGCACATGGGCATACATGCACACATGCCTAAAGTGATTTTCAAGCTGCCAAGTCGAGACTGGAGCTGCAGTTGGTCATGTGGGAGTCTAGTACCTTCACCACGAGACCTGCTGTCCCCCGGCCATGCTCTTTTGATATCGTACTGTCTGCGACTGTTCACGCCACCGTCACGGCGTTTAGCAGTTACAACAGAGACCATATGGTCCAGAAAGCCTAAGACATTTTCTATATTATTTACACTGTATTTACTACATGCTCCTCACAGAAGCAGATTGATGGGCCCTGTTTTAAACAAATAGTTTATCGTCTTCTGTGGAAAAAGAAGTCTGGAAGCCGGAAATCCAGGGTTGCTATGGCAACTCCCCCCAAAGTGATCAGGCACTAACGCTCCTTCTGTGTTTGCTCCACTGTTCTTAGAGGACAGTGTGTATCTTCGAGCTACGAGATGTGGACTGAACCTCCAGCCATCATATTCACAGCCTAGGAAGAAGAGAAAGGCAAGGCCCAGGCTCTTCCTAGTTCAGTTCCATTTAAGAGACATCCCAGAAGCCTCGGCTTTTTAAATGACCAGCAAAGAAGAAACGCGAGCCCGGTGGTGGTGGGAGGGGGAGGTACAATAGGGAATATGAAGGAGAGAGCAGGACTGAGCTAGTTAAGACCCAGCTGGCTGCAGGAGGTGAGGACGGAGTACACAGGACGTCACAGTGGTAATGTGTCACCATCCTGCAAGGAGGCCCCATGAGACCAGAAATATGGGGTGGGGCGTGTGGGTAAGGAGAGGAGCTCGGTTTAGT